GATATAGGGACGTGTTCGTTAGGCCCGAGTGGGCCTCGGTTGGGGCCGTCCTGCGTGTGGAAGCGTGGGGTTGTGCAGTCCGGGTGTTGCCTGGCGCGGGCGGCCTGTCAGGGTGAGGGAAACCTGTCACGGAGGTGTCCGGCCGCGGGTGGAGGCGGCTGTGTAGGGGAATGCCGGCCGGCCCGTGTCATTCCTCTGTGTGCTGAGCTCCTCTGGCAGCTGAACGGGTCCCTGGGCGCTTGTCTGTCTGTCTGTCTGTCCGTCCGTGTGGCAGCTCCCTGTCCCGGGCAGTCGGACACCTTCGTCCCAACAGAGCCTCTTCAGGAGCCCGGAGTTGTGCTTTGTGGTGCAGGGTTTCAGCAGAGAGACCCGCTCAGGTTGTACCCAGTGAAGACCTTGAAAAAAAAAACCAACCCAAAACAACACACCATTATTCATTATTAAAAAGATGCAATTAAAAGATTAGGTGATGTTGACATCATTGACTGTGTAAAATTGAGAAGTAAGGACCTGATTTCACTCGAGAGGACCTAATTTCATACTGGTCACTCCCCAGAAGGGGGAATTTATGACTTGGCCATGGGTTACACTTAATTTGGCGGGTGGGTGCAAGTGGACCCGACAGCCTGTTCTGTTCTTCCTTCAGGGTCAGCTGAAGGAAATCCCACAGTGGGTGAAACCGAGTGATTCCGCAGCCTGTGGGTGTGTGGTGTTTGCTGAAAGGGGAGTTCTGCCTCTGAAGTGTCACTTCTTTCTTAGCAGGGCTTTACGCCTGGATTTTAATTTTGGGAGACACACAAGTTCCGTGTAACATCTGACTACCTGCAAGTCAGCAGTGCCTATGCTGTTTTTCAGTGTAAATATAAGATATTTAGCGGGGGGACTGGAGTAGGAAAATTTCCCCTGGAAGTTATATTTGGTGTTCAACCAAAATGACAAATCCTGTTCCATCATTGCAGTGGTATTCAGATGCTTGTTACACTGTAACTTTTTATATTAAATAGGATATTTATGTTGTCTGGATATTAATATGGATTTATTGGCTACGCAATTACTGTTTTCCAGCCAAATTTCAGTAGTGACTTGTTCCAGAGGATTGCTGAAAAATGGGAGCCTAAAGGGAACTGTGTGGAGTGTCAGTACAGTCCACATGCAGGATTGGATGGAACAGTGTCTGGTCTTGTGGTTGACTGATGCTGTTGAGCAAGAAGTGGGCAATATTAGCATGAAATTTTAGAACAGTTACAGATAGGGAAATCCTGGGTTGAGGGTTCTTAAAGGGAACTTATTTTGAGTTAGGTAACAGTTTTGAATAAGCAAGTGTTTGGGAAGTGCAGAGGGAAACAGACAGGGGAGTACAACCCATTACAATATGAAGTTATATGTCATATCATGTCATGCTATTAGGTAAGGAATGCCAGTCATAGCTAGGAATAATCCATATCCTTGAGTCATATGACTAGAATTAGTGTTGAATGTTTAGCTAGGGAGCCAGTGCTTTAGGGTACAGTGTGTACTGGTCACCATCTCATGCAGTTCATGGATGGGCATTGCATCATATTTCTTGTGTCTTGCATACTTCGTGCTGCTTGCGCTCAGGTAGCAGTGGTATTTGTCTGGAAAGCACAGATGATGCTTGCTTGAAAATCGTAGTATTTCCAGTGGCTCACAACTGTACCACTGAATCTTTCAACTACCTCTTTCCAATCCATTCAGAGACCTAAGTGTTTACTTTGAAGAACTTAAACTGCACACTGACTTGCATGACTTGTATACGTTCTTGTTTGTAAAGCTGTCTGTACGCTAGAAGTGACCTTTGGTAGTAAGTGTCAGAATTAGTTGATCAGTAAGAGCTGGGTTACATAGGGAAGCTGTGACCAGGTTAGAGATGAGATAAAGTGTTGGGAAACTGATGTTCATGCTATTTGTTTCTCTTAATTCTTGATCTGACACCTTTTAATCGGCAAAACCTTTTCATGGATATTCTGCTGTGTCTGAAATTCAAAGCTCATTTGCTAGTTTTTGTCCTCAGCACATTTAGTAATCCCATACCAAGTGTCAGGGCTGAGAAGCTGTGAGGATTTCTAGCTGGTCCCACCTCCCTGGTGGGAGCTGTGCAGGTGCAGAGTCCTCCAGCTCCAGTGTGTACTTCCTGCTCCCGCCCGCTGCTCTGCCACATGATGCTAGTGCGTCTCTGCCACGCTTGCGCGGAAAAGTAATGCTCCAGAGATTTTAATGGGGGTTATAAAGTTCTGGTGGGGTTGGACCTTGTTATTCTCAAGGTGAGAACTGCCCTTGTTTACATTTTAACTCGTAACAAGCAGAAGCTTTCTCATAGAACAGTTTCTTACAACTTTGAGTACAGAAGATACTTCAAAACATGTCAAATTGCAAGAGCAGCAGTTCCTGTGTATTGTGAGCAGGAAGAACAAGGGAAGAGCTTGGGCTGGTGTTGGATAAAGAAGTTGCTTTGCGAACTGTGTTTCATTCAACAAATTGTGGTGTCTCACTTCCCATCTCTAAAATTGGGATGTCAGTATAACTGATAGGTAAAAGGTCTCGTTCCTATGTTTGGGGTGCTCAGTGTTAGTAAGACAAGCTGTATAAATACATAAGGAATATTTTAGGTTACTCATTCTTACAACTAAGTCATGACTTTGACAAACAGGTTAATGCAAACAAATATTCTGTCTCTCCTCAACAGACGCCATGTTGCCCCAGAAGAGGGGACGAATACCTTCCAGAACAGCCATGAACTGTTATTGGAAAGTCCTGGCTATTTTCTTACTATTTCTTCCAAGCGCATTGTCTCTCCAGCCAGCCCAGCCCAGAGTGTTGCTAGTATCTTTTGATGGATTTCGATGGGATTACATCTATAAAGTCTCAACTCCCAATTTTCATTACGCCATGGAGAACGGTGTTCATGTCAAACAGGTCACTAATGTGTTTATAACAAAAACGTATCCTAATCATTATACGATGGTGACTGGTCTCTATGCAGAAAGCCACGGTATAGTTGCTAATGAGATGTATGATCCTATTCTGAACAAAACTTTCTCTATGAACAAAATGGATATCCATAACTCCAAGTTCTGGGAAGAAGCCAGCCCAATATGGGTAACAAACCAGAGGGAAGGACATAAAACTGGAGCAGCTATGTGGCCTGGAACAGATGTGAAAATACATGGAGTCTTTCCTACGTATTATATGCCCTATAATGAATCTGTTTCCTTTGAAGACAGACTTGCTAGGCTTATTGACTGGTTTACATCAGCAGAACCCATAAACTTTGGTCTCCTATATTGGGAACAGCCTGATGAGATGGGCCACATTCTGGGCCCAGAAAACCCACTGATGGGACCGATAATTAGCAATATTGACAAAAAGCTGGGATATCTTATGACTGAACTGAAGAAAGCGAAGCTGTGGGATGTGATAAATGTCATAATCACAAGCGATCATGGAATGTCACAGTCCTCCTCGGAGAGGCTCATTGAGCTTGATCAGTATGTGAATAGAGAGCTCTATACAATTGTTGACCATTCTCCTGCAGTAGCTATTTTGCCAAAAGAAGGTAGGACCTATAGCAGTAAAATTCTCTGAAGAAAATACTTGAGTGTCGAAATTTTATAGACTTTGTTCCTTAACTGAAGTGGCGGTAGCAGCACCGATGCCAGTAGGGCATCAGCCTTGAACAAGGAGTACTTGCAGGACTACTTCTTTGTTCTTTTTGCTAGCTCTGTCAAAAGCCTGGATTAACTTTCTGAAATGAAAACTGAGCAAATCTGTCTGTTGTTGACTAATATTGCCAAATATCCTTCAGTCCTTACGAGAAGTAAGATAATCTAACGGCATTATCAAGCATGAATGGCGTTCTAGATAGATAACAACTGAATGTTACTTATCTTGCCTTTCATCAAGATGCTAAAGCCATAGTGGAAGAATTAGATTTCTAACTCAAACAGTAAACTGAAACCAGATGGGAACCTTTGATAAAAAGAAAGCCTGTGTTGGCTATTTGATTAGCTGCCAGCTATTGTAGTTCACTTTAGTTTTTTTTCCCGTCACGCTGAACAGCCAGCCAGTTATGTTCATACCATTTTTATTTTGATAATGATGGGCAAGAATACTGTTGGAATCAAAATCTGAAGCCTGGTTGCAGTCGTTAAAGGGTTGCTTAAGTGTCAGGTGTATGCTTAGTGTCGCTGATGTAGAGGTGCTGCTCTTAATTTTGATCATCAGAAGCTATGACTATTTGATATAGATGTGTTAACCTGGAAAATAGCATTTTTTTGTGTGGGCAGGGGTGCTAATCTGGAAGTTGAGTTTTCAGGTGACCTTCTGAAAAGGTGTTTTTTAAGATTTCTGTAACATTTACATCACTAATGAATAGCACTCTGTATTTAGTGCCCCGGAGGGGAGGGTATTTGCAGACTTAAGTTACCTTTAAATGCGTAAATAAACATGTCTTGTCATTTTTTGTTTGAAGAATACTTCAGACTAAAGTATTAGTATGTCCAAACTGAGATCATTTGCTGCCTGAGCACACTCAGGTGCTTGTAGCTGGGCACTGTTTCTCTCCGTGGTGATAAAAGAGCTGAGTTTGCGAGCTCCATCGTAATGGAGAAAACATGGTTGACCGGGATGTTCTCATTACCAAATAAAGGAGTTGTAAAAGTAAACTTTAGTGCTGAAACATCCCTAATGCCGTAAATGAGAACTTGAAGGTGTGTAACCTGACTCTCCTGTCTGCTAAATGCTGAAAAGAAATAGTATCTCTGCAGCAATAAGCTGACAGAATAGTAAAAAAGCCATTTTGATGGATTTCAGAAATAGCTTGGATTTGGTTTTGCTGAGAGGTTCAGATATTTATTACACTACCAGTAAACAAGAATTAGTTTTGAGCACAGCTAAAATTCCTTTCGTCTGTGTTACCAGCTGTAATTTTCATCATAAAACAGTGAGCTTCAGTCTCAGTCTAGCTATGAAATAACATGCACTTAAGTACATAAGACTGATTCTTCAACAGTTACTCCATTTGTCTTGCTTAAACCAAGGGAATGGTAAAATTTAGTGAGACATTGAGAAAAATTTTGAGTGTTTAAAAATGCAGCAATTTCTGCTACTTTAACTGCTTGGCTGTGTATTTCTTCCCCGAGAGGTGGATTAAAGCCATTATTTAACCATGCTAGTGTACTAGTGTGTATGGAACTAACAGTATGCTCACAAAGGTGGTACCTGTAGCACAGGTGGTGATGCTGGCCTTTTTCTTGCATTATAATTATATTAATTAAAATAACTATTTTAGTGTAAAACCATATGTAAAATCATAGTTTACTATTTTGGGGGCTTCTCCTCCCTGTTATCCCATATAGAAAAGTGGCATAATTAAATTAATTTTGTTATTAATATAGCCCTAGAAATGCTAGATCAGAGTCCCTTGTTACTGTAACTGTATCATAGCTGGACTTTTGCTGTTTCATCTTGACCTTTGTTGTGTTTCCTGAGTTTAGTGATTCTTTTTTTTGTGCCAAGTTGAGATAAGAAACATTGTACATTAATCTATTTCCTCCAGAATTTCTATACTGGATCCTAGGAAGAGGGGGAAAACGAAGACAGTTTGTTTCAAGACATTGGGTGCTTCCTCCCAGACTTTTTCTTTTTTGTAAGATATATGCAAAACTCCATGCACGCTGTAAACAATAGACTGGATTTTATCCTTGGCTTACTTCAGGTGGTGTCTCAGGTCAAACTAAGCACTTGTTCTTGTGGTCATCAAGGCGATTGTTTCTTGGGACAGACAGTCAGAGAAGAGCTTGCTCACAGGAACACCCGCTGCAGGATGTACAGCTCGCTGTGACGGCAGAACTAGCGAGAAATGATAAGTCAAAATGACAGGATGTGCTTAAATCCCACTCGTCTGCTAAAAACAGCAGTGTTGGCCACAAAGAAAATGTAAACATCTTCCAACTGTGCTTCAGACCTTGTCGTGCCGAAACTGGCCTGCAGAGACTAGCTGTGAACTCAGCTGTCTGACTGAATTGTGCATGTGTGTAGCACAAAGTATTTAAATAAGTCATGGAGCCGAGTTATTTGGTATATAACAGAAGTCTGTTATATACACTGCATAGCCCTCAACAGGAGTCTGTGCTTAAATGGAGGAGAGGGATGGAAGAAACTTGCTCAGATGTAGATTCCTGAACTTGCTTTTGTGTTCCTGTCTGTGTGTCCTGGTTCCTCCTTTCCGTGCGCTGGTGTTCCAGCTTGTCCAACTACTTTCTGGCTGTTCAGTGACTTTTGCAAAGTTCAGAAACTGGAAATATGCAAATCAAGAATTGGGGCTGGAAAATGCCTATTTATTTGGTAGTGTTGGTACAGCTCTTGAGGGTTTGCACTCACCATGCAGTAGATGACTAGGGAGGGGAAAAGAGTAGACACTAAGAATACAAAGGAGTAGGTGGTGCTGTTAGCTGTTATTGAATACACAGAGTGGCTGACGGTTCTAGACCAAAAGTACCATCTTCATCTGCCAGTCCAACCTGTCCCTTCGTATGTTTGTCATGTGTTCCCTGCTTAGGCCTCTGCAATCTTTGTACGGCTCCTGACGTGTTGGTGGCATCTGGACTGTGACCTGAAGGTTTCCATTGAAAGATTAATGCAAGCTAGTTTTGCTTATCCCTAGGCAATTAATTGCTAATATTATGATGTTACATGGTGCATAGTGACAAACTAGCTGCTCTTTCTAAATTGGCTAAACTTAGCCATCAAAGTGGTAGAAGAAAACTGGGACTCAAATGAGGTCAAATATGTAGCTGTTTATTGGAGCATCTTGTACAAGGAGAAATAAATAGCTGAGTTTACCCAAAAATAGGTTTTCAGAGATGCCAAAAAAAAAAAGTGGCTGCTCTCTTTCGCCTTCTAAAGGAAAGCAACTAACAACTAAACTGCTTTAAAATAAATCAAAAGTGTCACTTGTCATCTTAGCCACCTGGGGGAAAGACAGAATATGGCCTTAATGTGCACATTACCTCATAAAGATGTTTAGGAGGTACCTTCTTGCTTTCAAGCTTTGCACGGAGTTAGGAGGAGCTGGTTTCTTTTCCGTGAAACTTAACTGACTGCCTTCTAACTCATTCTTGTGAGAGGCTTACATTCTGATAACTATGAAATGAGGGATTTTTCTAAAATTAGCAAGGCACTTACTGCTTAGGAATAGGCTGTGAAGTCTGATGCCAGGTGTGAGTGACGCTCTGGATTTCTCACAGTAATCTGCTGTTGTCTCTCACAGCTATAATTAGCTTTTGGGGAAGTGCATTTTGCCCTCTTCTTTCAGGTGTATTTAAACTACTGATGAGGCCAGTAAACATATTAGTATGTTTAAGTTTTGTCTTTTGTTTCTTTTGTTTGTTTGAAGGTAAACTGGATGAAGTATATGAAGCTTTGGCCAATGCTCATCCCAACATGACTGTATATAAAAAGGAGCAGATTCCAGATAGATTACATTACAAACACAACAGTAAAATTCAGCCCATCTTAGCAGTGGCTGATAAAGGATGGGAAATTGTATACAATAAGTCTGACGGTTTTCAATGTAAGTATTCTGTCTTTACAGTGTTTTGCTATATCTTCCTAGTCAGAGCTTTTACATGGTACTTTCTCTCCCAATCTCAACCAATGTTAATTTTTATTTTATTTTTTTAAGACTGGGAGGGAAAACTCTGAAGCTAAGTGTGGAGAATTTATGTTGGGTTTTTTTGTTTTTTTTTTTTCCTGATGGGATAGGAAGCATTCTACTATTAGGGGAGGGGGAACTGGGTTTACTGTTTCTAAAAATTGAACTTGCTGAGATAAGATCATTCACATGATTTAGTGGCTGTGTACTTGAGGTCTTCTTACGAGATCTAGCAAACTGACAAGCACTTCCTGAGAGATTAAAAAGGAAGTTGCAACTGAACTTGTTGAGTAGAGGATGAATAGCGTTGTTTTACCGTGTACTATTTACTTACTGGAGAGGGTTGGGTTGGAAATACAAGAATGCTTTCTAAAAGTCCTCAACTTCTGTGGATGCTTACACTTACAGTAACCTTATTCTGTTGCTAGAAAGAATCTTTGAATATTGTGTCTCTGTACACCAGTGATTTTTGTTTGCCTTGTATGGTAAGATGCATATTAGGTGATTTGGAGGAAAAAAAACCCACTTAAGTTCCTCACTTGGCACTTTGAGATTTATTATAGGGAGAATGGAGACAGTAAACTGTAACTTTTGGTTAGCTAGGAGGAAAAATAGAGGTATTATACAGTCAGTTCTTAAGTTTCTTAATTGAAAACCTGGTAAAATTTGCTGCTGAAGAGCATTACCTGCAAGACTTAACAAGTTTTTCATTTGTTGATAGCTGATGAGAGCAGCTTTTTGTGCCTGGGTGTTTATTCACTTGTTCAGACTTTTTAGTGCCCCTGTAAGGAAGTGCTACTGGAGACCCGCTAGTGAGACCGGTGACCTTGTTGATGAGTAGATAGTGCAAATAATGGGACAAAGTGTCAAAGCAGTCAGAGCTTGAGTTCTGTCTGCTACTAGGAGTCAAACAGACAGTCTGTCTACATGGATTTTTTTATTTTTTTCTAAGAGATCTGGTCAGGTTGCAAAGATGAAGTCTGTCCCTGAGGAAAATCAAGGAAACTTGGATGTAGCGTAGCGTGCCATTGACAGTGCTATTACTACTGTGTGAACTTACCTTTTTTTTTTCTTTTTTCTTTTTTTTTTTTTTAAATAGTGCTCCCCTTTTTTTTTTAAGGAATCTTCTCTTTGTAATTCTGAGACTTGGTATTTGCTGGGAGACATCTATGCTGTTGATCAAAATGATTCTTCTAAACTTCTGCAAGAATAAACTATGGCTGTTCCATTTCTGCATTACGCTAATTCTAGGAAAAGAATGCTTGTTTTGCAACTTCAGAATATTGACCTTTATCTGTCTTTTATTTCTAGTTGGTAATCATGGATATGACAACATCTTACCAGAAATGCATCCAATTTTTTTGGCAGTTGGGCCTGCTTTCAGAAAGAATGCAACGAAAGAAGTCATGAATGCTACAGACTTGTACCCCTTACTGTGCCATCTGCTTGGTATTAACCCACTGCCAAACAATGGTTCGTTCAATGCTGTGAAAGACATACTTGCTGAAGAAGTTCCTGTAGCCTTTGGAGCAGACACCTATGCTACTGTTTTAGGAGTCTTGCTGGGCAGCTTTCTTGTTATGGTTTTTATTGCAGTTTTTGTTAAACATTTTATCCTCACCCAAGCAAATAGCATGCAGATGCCACATACTGAAGCTGCCCAGCCACTGCTGCAAGATTAATAACACTTGGTTCTATTTCTCGTTTGATGCTTAAAATAAGCTTATACGAAAAAAAAAAAAATAATAGAGCTGGATCAGCATATGTGGAGTAAAAGGAAATGAATGCTGATCTGTTGGTACACTGGAGTCCGTACATACTAACTATGCGGAAGAGGAGCATGTTTCTGTTTCACCCTACAACCACTTAATCTTTCAGGGGTTGAAAATATTCTAGGTAAACCTGGAAAGCTGTGTATGTATGTAGACATGTAGTGACAATAGGCCTTGAATACCTCATTCTGAGCTACTTTTAACATCAACTGAGGTGCCCTTCACAGACTATTACATGGTGATTTAATTTGCAACCCACTTTTTTTTTTTTTCTTTGAGAGGTTTTTTAAGTCTCTTGGATTCTAACAAGTCACTGAATGTGACTGGACTTCTTTGGGGTTTTTTCTTCCCTGTCCCAGGAAGCTTTTGCATGAATCACCATTACGTATAGCTTGGTGGACTAAATACTGCCACAAATGTTATTGTTAAGCTAGGTCATGCAGTGCTAAGTGTCTGTGTTTAGAGTTAGGCGTATTTCTTTAAACTACTGTGTTAATTGTAGTCCCAAAATATGAATCCAGGTGGTGTTGCCTTAAGCAATCAGCATTAAACTACTTGATTTTTTTTTTTTTTTTTAATTTAGGTAAATATAGGTCTTTATCATTTTAGGTATGATTTTACGTAAGTATAAGTCTTTACTTTTTCTATTGTTTCCTGTACACTGGACTGATTTTTCTAGGAGTTCCATGCTGCTGGCAGTTTAAAGACACGTACAAGCACAACACCTGTGTATCCAAATGGTGTCTTTTCTGTTTCTGTGGTAAGAAGGTTCTTTCAGAGTAAGGCTGATGAATCAGTTAAGGAACATACAGGTACAAGCTGGTTTCGGAATGCTGTCAAGCTTGTCACTGGGTGTAACATCAGATCCGTTACTGGAGACTCTTCTCAGGCATGAGCTTGGCTTGCTGTCTTGTGTTTCCTCTGATAGGTCTGAGTGGACCTTAGAATTTGATGAGTAGGGTTAAGCGTGCAATTTAAGGAACAGCTGTATTGAATCTTAAGCCATATATACTCTTAAATCTGAAAAAGCACACTTTAATATGAAAAAAGGTATAAGACTGGAGTTTGTTTTTCCAGAGGAAAGTCTCTGTCAGGGAAAATTACTAATTCCGAGTCAACAGAATTGTATATTACTCTGATTCTTTTGTGTGGGGCAATAAATCTTTTTGATATTGTATTTGTGGTTAATTTGATGATCTCACTTCAATGGTAGGTGAGAAGCTGCTGGCTGAGGCCTGCAGGAAAAACATGGTATGAAGTGAGAAGAGTTGTCTGGTTGTCAGACTTGATTAAAAGCTGAATTTTTTTCCCCTCCCCGTGTGAGTTAGCATTTCTCTGCAGTTTGCTTCTGAGCACAATGCCTGAAGGAGAAAGAAACTCTTTGAAAATTTGCACAAATATTCAGTCTGGTATTTCTTTAAATGCAATTTATTGCTTTATCCACAGCACCCAGCAGAGGGCAAAGATGGAAACATCTTGGCTTTGGATCTGCTCTGTCAAACTAATGGTGTGACTAATGGTCTAATACTGCAGTTGGGAGGGTTGCTAGCAGACCTGGCAAGGATCTGCAACAAGCTGACTAACTGATGTACAAAACTCATTTTGCTGAACTTAATTCCAGACCTGATGAATGACATCTAGATGAGTTCAGAAGCTACTTCTCGCTGCCTCGGTGGTTACTTTGCAGTGCCGTGTCACAAATTGGCTGGTGCTCACTGCGTCAGAGGTAATCTGTTGAATTCCTCCGTGATGGCAGGGACACTTGCTTAGCATTAAGCTGTCTTGCAGACAGATATGGAAAGTTTCCAGAGACCACAACTAGGTGCAGTGAATGCTCGAGAGGGAAAGCAATGAAATACTACGACTTAAGGTATATGCTGAAAGTCTAGCTGTAATAGTGGCTTTAGGAAGGCAGGAAACGTGCCGATCTGTTGGAGGACAGCCCCTTCATTTGGGGGATACGTATGAAGTCTTGTGTGACTTAGTCTGACTCATCTCTGCTATTCTGCCAATGAGTGTACTGCCTTGTTTTCCTACATTGCTACTTTCTTAAGAAAAGAGTGAAGGAAAATGTCTGGGTTAGGTGTGCCTGACACTGTAAAGCTGATTCTTAGTGGAGCTGACCATTAGGTCTGTCTTAAGTCTAATTCGCTGATGCTGCAGGGGCTTTTCAAGCTGAAAGGTGAAAGAAAAAGGAATGATGTTCACAGTAGTTTCTAGAGAGGCTGGGGAAGTCCAAGTAGAAAACCTAAACCTCTAAATTGTTACTAATCGCTTCCCTGGCTACTTTCCAAAAAGTGGATGGCAGACAGCAAATTGATGCATTGAGTCCACCTTTTCTTGCTTATTTGCAAGTTAAAACCAAATTGTAACACAAACTGTGTGTTTAAAGAAAGATCTACAGGCTTCGTAAAGGGAGTAACAGTGAAAATTGGAGATGATCCTCACTTGTAGCTACTTCAGTTATGCACTTTCTCACTTTGGAACATGCTGCTTTAATAGAAATTCTTATTGCAGTAATTTCATAGCAATGCTTATGGCAGATGTAAAAATAACCGGATTGTCATCTCAGAGGTGTTCATTAAACTTCCACTCTTAATTCTGACAGGTGTAGTTCTATCATCAGCCAAAGTGACCCTTGATTTTAAGGAGGGGGCAGAGTCGGTCAGTGTTGTTCAGTCATCCTGGGACTTGGGCTTACCTGCCCAAACATGCATC